CACTCGGGTACATAATTTGATGAGCAAGCTACCAATCAGCTATGGACTAGGGAAGAGACTCCTGTAGCCTGCCTCTGGCTTTGCATAAGAGAAAACCAGGGGTTCATCCAGTGTATGTAGGAAGTAGTAGAACCCGCCAGATTTCTTGCTGAGTGCCTGGGACCTCCTCTGGGAGCCCCCTAGCCTTCAGATAGGCAAGGGTCCCAGTCAATGTAACCAGAGTGTAACCAGAGGAAAGATCAGAGCTTCTGGCTTTAGTCCTCAAAGCTCCACTCTCCTTGGTTCTGAGCCCAAGCCCACAAGGTGCTGTATTCTCCAGAACATGGAAAGGGTTTCTATTTACACATATGCTACCAGTCTGCTGTGTGACTTTGGGCAAATTGCTATGCCTCTCTGTGCCTTTCTTCATTTGTAAAGTAGGAACAAAAGGCTTTATATTGGTAACCCTTCCAAACCTGTCCTGAGGAGTCCATGGAGTCAGTTATGAATGTGCTCATCTCAGACACACATCTGGAAGTGTTATCAGCTGCAAAGATGGTGAGACACTACAGTGTCTCATTGCATTCCACTCCTTGCTGAACAGGGGAGGAAGCTCAGGACCAGACAGAAAGAAGCCAGGTGTGAGGAGCCAACCTCAGCCTTGTCAGCCCGGAGGTCCACTCCTCTGAACAATGCTTGAGAGCACATGTACGGCTCCCTGGGACAGGGTGGAGGTGGCTGCTTGCTGAAGTGGGAGGGTTCACCTGCCCTCCTGTCACAAAGGACTAACAATTCTGGCTTGAAAGATGCCTCAGGATGGTAGAGGCTGTTCCTGTCCTTAGGCTTCAGGAGCCTCTGCTACAGTCCCATCCCCTGGGACTGAGGGGGGCACCTGAAACTGCTCCTGCCCCCTGATCTAGGCAGGAACTGGCTGCCAACCACGATGAGCAGAACTTGAGGAAATGGTGCCAGGTCGCCCTGGCAGATACGTGGCCAGGAGGGGGCAGTGAGCAACTGGCGGAGGCAGCCAGCCGGGACGGTGGGTCTGGAGGACTGCTTTAGATGTGCTTGCAATTATGTCTGCTCCTGTGGCTGCATGCTGACTTGTGTCCCTGTTTTGCACAAGGGCAGGTGTCGGTACACAATGTGCGACGGAGTTCCTGGCTCTTGGTTGGGTGGCTGCCACTCGCACACACAGAAAATGTGTATAATGCACATGTGCATGTGTGTACTGGGCAGGGTGTGCCTGTGTGAAGCCCGTACCTAGGAGCCCACTTTGTTCCCAAGAAGCGAAGGGCACAGGCTACATCCCCTCCAAAGGTCGAGGCCCACTGGGCCCTGTAAAGCTTGTTTGATTTCAAAGGACAAAACAACCCTCCTGGCCGGGCGTGGTGGTGCACGTCTTTAATCCCAGCACTGGGGGCGGCGACAGAGGCAGGCGGATTTCTGTGAGTTCGAGGCCAGCCTGGTCTCCATGGTGAATCCAGGACAGCTGGGGTTACAGGGAGACCCTATCTCAAAAAGACAAAAAACAAAACAAAAAAACCCCTTCCTGTTACTGCACCTGTAAAACTGAGAGGGGGAGGTGCTGGTGGGGGCGAAGCAGGTAAGTACTGAAACAGTACTAGGGCACTAGTACGAGCCTAGGGCACTCGATCCTGCTTCTGGATGGCGATGGTTAAGCAGTGTAAGCCGCATGGCAGGCAGGGTGTGGGCTGTGAGGGCCAGCGGGTGGTTGGAGGCAACCAACTTCACCTCCCTGAACCTGTTTTCCTCTTGGGTACACGAGGACCCTTGCTCCCAAGATCAAAATGAAACGTGCTGTCTTTAGCAGGTAGTGGGCGCTCAATAAATGCTCCTTCCAGGATTAGCTCTCGGAGGTGCAGCGACTCGCACAGGGTCACGCTCCCGAGTGGCAGCGGCCGGCCTTGGCCTCCGGCTTCCCAGAACCTCCCTCCCTCCCACCCGCAGGGGCGGATCCAACACCATTTTGTCTTCTGCCAGGGCGGGTGTCTGGCTGCCTGTCAGTCACTGGCGGCCAAGTGCTGACTAAACAGGCCCGGGAGCGGGGAGCGAGGGGCTCGGCGCCCCCTCCCCGCACCCCACCTCCGGCGATGAGCTCAGAGCGGCTGGCGCAGCACTTGCTGACAACTCAGAACTTCTGCCCCTCTCTCGGGACGCCGTGGGTGACTCTGCGAACAGCAGGCGTGGTGACCCACGGAGCCTCCAACCCCGCCCCCTCCCAAGGCCACCCCACTGTCTCCTCATGAATTACCCCCAGACAGTAACCCACAGCAGCTGTGCTCCGATCCACCGCCGCTGCCTGGGTAGGTCAATTTTGGGGGAGTCAGAATGTAAACCCAGCCCCCTCTTCCTCAGGCAAGTCGGAGAGGGGGCGTGGAGCAGCCTGAACCTTTTATCGGATTCCATTGTAAACCGTTCTATTTAAGGTAAGTTGCTTGGGTCTGAGAAGCAGACAAGATGCCGGCCAGATGTTGGGAGGCAGCATCAGCATTCAGTCTGTGCGCCTCTCTGGCTGTCCTCGGAGGAAGGGAACCTTGGGCCTCTGCTTCCCCAACTAGGTCTTCAGTCCTCGGAGCCCACTGAGGCCGGATCCTTCCCTCCCCTCCAGGCCTCACCCACCTGTGGCTGTGTTGCCCCTTGTAACTTATCCTCCCATGAAACACACATACAGACACACAGACACACACCCCCAGATGTGGCTGTCTACAAAGGCTTTATCAAGTTATTTGAAAATGCCAGTAAGTATTCATGTGTATACATAAAAGTTACATGGAACCTTCAGTTCACCGGGGTACAAAAGTAGTAACACATGAGCCTGGAAGGGACACAAGAGCAGGCTTGGAACCTCAGGGCCTGTCCTAGCCAGACATGGAGATCAGGATCCCAAGGCCAGATTTGGCTACATAGCTAGTTCAAGGCCAGCCTGGTCTACATGAGATCCTGTCTCAGAAAAAAACTTACATCCTTCTAAAGGCATGAGGGGCAGAAGAAAGCCACAAAGGGGCAGAAGAAAGCCACAAAGGGGCTTGGCTTCCCCCCAGTGCTAGATCTCCAGCTGGAGAGCCCCTTTCCCAGCCTTTAGGGAAATAGAATCTACTTTCAGACAGCATCCCCACTATATATTAGCTCACAAAATCTTGATGTGGCAAACACACCCAAGAAACTATTGGAATATGTCCTTATAAATATATTTATATCAGAGAAAACAAGGCACTTTGGGAGCATTACAGCTCACTCTCCTACGCATACATCATTCTAGACAGAAAGTAAAAATTGGTTAGTTTCTCAAGTGAATTAACTGAATAAAGTTAATACAGTAACAGAATTGTTCCCTGGCCTTCACTGAGGCCCTGTTAAATGTGGCAGGAAGCACAGAACAAGGCACTTCTCTACCACACCTGGTCCCAGGTTGGATGGGCACTGGCAGAGCTCAAAGCCTGACACCCCTCAAGGCTGACATACCTCCTGAGTAGGAGGGCCTGGCCCTGGCCCTGGCCCACTGCCTCCCTCCCCAGGCCCTGAGGTCAGGTGACGGGCTGCAGGAAGCAGTCCTGGTACAGAGTAGGGACACGGTGGGAATGCTTAAACAGGGTCACCAAAGCCACAGAGACCTCAATCTGTCCAAGCTGGCGCTGTAGAGTCGGAGGATCGGGGCCACGGGAAGAGATTTCACATTAGCCCTGACAACACCGCCTCAGCTCTGCGGTGACATTGGCCAGGGTCGTTTCTGAGGGCGCTGGAGCTTCCACTGGAGGCGAGCTGGAGCTTGGGCCAGCTGCTCTGAGCCTCCAAGGGATGGTTGCTCCCCCTACCCCCTCCTTTGGAATGAAATCATCTCACCACCAAGGCAAAGCCACAAGTCACTTCTGACACTGCTGAATGTGAGCTGGGCTCCTGGGCCACAGGAATGGGGGCAGGTCCCCTGGGCTAGGCAGACAAGGAAGGGAGGTGGCTCCTTGGCTTCAGCACTTAAGAGTCCTTATGGGCCACCATTTCATACTCTTACTAGCCTTGGCTCAGTTTAATCATTAAACTTTGCATTCTACAATTACAGGACTCCACAAACATGCCTACATGCACTGGGTCCTTTATCATCTTAAAGGGCTCTAGGTTTAAAGCTGTCCTTCTTTTCTTTTCAGTGCACACATGCATAAGTAGAGCCCAGAGGACCTCTCAGCTGACTGGGTCCCCAGCCCCCCCCCCCCCCCCCCCCCCCCCAGCTAAGGAGGCTTCGCAAGGCCGGCTGCTACAAAGCACTGAGCTTGGCTGCATAGATTTTAATGAGAGCGTCAGGCAGAGTTGTGCTGTTGCTCTCCGGGACTTGCAGATCATTACCAAACCAGCTGTAGGATGAGAACACAGCACATCGAAACCCTAGGAGGTCACTGAGCTAATGATCTAATCCTACCTTCCTCAGGCAGGGCCCCTCCCCACCTCCTTCTGCCCCCAGCCCTTGCCTGGTGGACTCTGTCCATTCCAGAAGCCAGGCCAATACCGCCCCCTCCAAGGTCAGAACAGAAATATACTGAGTAGCTCTAGCTCCCCTTTTTCCGGAGAGGAGGAGGATGGTGGTAATTTAGTCAAAGCCATTAGGCCAAACCCTGGACTGGCTAGGCCCCAGGACTCCTATTTGGAAGCTACTGCCCTCCGTCTGCCTCTCCAATCCCTGCTGGGCTGCAGCCGGGGCACCTTCAACAGACATTTTAGGGTTCTGATAAAAGCACCTTTGGCCTCTAAAGTGCAGGGTAGGAAACAAGCTCAGCATGGAGTTGAGCGCCAAGCCCTGTGCCAAAGACACTGGATCTAGGGGACATGGGACGCTCCGGAGTAGCCACAGCAGGAAGGCCTGTTGGAACCTGCATGCTCAGTCCCCACATTCGAGTTCAAGAAAGGAGGCAGAGGGGAGGCATTCAGCAAGGGCAGGCAGCAGTGCCCGCGATCATACTCTCTCCTCAAGCCGGAGGGGTTTATGAGGGCTTTGGCAATTACTACAACCATTTGCTGTGCTGGGTAGAGACAGATCCTGTTTCTCTTTGTTTCAGGCTCTGAAAGCTGGAGAAGCCGATTTCAGGATTTCAGCATAAGAGGCCACACAATAGTTGGGGCAGAAGAGAAAAAACCTTGCTGTTCGCCAGAGCCGACCAGTTTTTTTCCTGAATAATAGCACCTGTGTATTAGCTCTGGAAAGGGGTGTAAAGGAGGAACCAATATCACCCTGCACAGTGAGGGGGCAGAAAGAGGCCCCGTGTCCTTTTGCCTTTCAGCCTTCTTCACGGATGCCAGGGCCCCCAGCAGGTGCCTGTGCGTTGCCAGCCTGAGGGACTGAAGTTTCGACAGCTGGCAGAACCTATGCTTAAATTGGGGAAACAAAAGGGGGAGGAGTTGCAGTGGAACTGAAAACCGCACCTGCCGAGGCTGCTGTCCTGCTCCTCCTCTCCCTGCTTGTTTCCCAGAAGACAGTTCCCATGCCACAAGACTGACTAGAGACAGAAAGGGGCAACAAAAGAGGTTGTAAGGGTCAAAGCTGTATTGGCTGGGCTGGCACAGGCAGTGAACCCTCCAAAGGGGACCCCTGCTTTCAGGAGGTCTGGAGTAGCTTGGAGCCAGCACTGCTCTGCCCAGACTCCAGCAGGTGCCCATTATTTGGTCCCAGAAAACACAGGTGACTTGGAAACAAGAAGTCTGAGCTCTTGCTTGGTTACTATCCAACTGTGTGACCTTGAGCAAGTCACTTCTCATTTCAGCCTGGGCATCCTTAGAGGGTAGGACCCAGGAGGTTCTTCTAGTCCTGCAGTTCCAGATTTCCAAGCTTTGCTCTTGTCAGGCAGCAGAGGCCCAGGTCCCTGTGTGTTAGGGCTAGTTTGGTCATGGATATCTGAGGTTAAAACTGGCTGTGCAGTCTGAAGGCACCTAAGGGTGAGGGAGGGGCATGAACACTATACTCACTAGGAGGGACCCTGGGCAGGAGGCAATAGCCTCAGCCTTCAGAAAGGCATCACCTCTGGGCGGAGGGTAAGACATTCTTTAGAGGCTCGACGCCTCTTGGAACAAAGGTATCTGAGGTCTTGATAGGACTGAACGGAAGCAGCCCAGCTGCTACAGAGGGTAGTGTGGGGCACAGGAGTGTGGCAGTCAGGTTGTCAAAGTACTCAACTTGCCCTCTCTTTTCAGGGCACAGACAAGGGAGCAGCTGTGCCCACTCTGCCCCTTTTTTTGGAGACACGGTCTCAATTACATAGACCAGGATAGCCTCAAACTCAGAGATCCACCTGCCTCTGCCTAAGTGCTGGGTTTAAGGCATGTACTACCACACCTGGCCTGTGCCCACTGCTTTAAGACCAGGAGATGGACAGCATTATTTGAAGTAGCTGAGTCCAAGGACTTTGGAGGAAGGCCACCGGTGAAAATGGATGTTAGGGGAAGGCACTATCTCCAGGTGAAACCCAATTAAAGGAATTTGCTTTGGGGTTTTTCTTCCTTTTCAATACGTAGCAGTCACTGGAAAGGAAGAGGGATTATTACCTCAGCTACGGACTCTCAGGAGCCCACAGTCAGGAAATAGGGAAAGGAAACACATGGTGATCTGGAGGAAGCACTTGGATATATCTTTGGTTGCTTCAGGGAAGACTTTGGCCCCTTGAAACTCTTTCTCCCCCCCCCCCTTCCCATGGGACTGCTGGGTTAGGTATCAAAAAGGCAGGTAGGAAGGGAAAAAAGGGAATAGGGGCAGCAGGCAGAAAGTTAATTCGACCAATCATCTTCATCAAACTCAGAGGAGTCATCTTCCGAGTCGCTGTACTCAACAGCAATGCGACGTGACAGGATGGTGGCCACATCGTTGCCCACGACATCACGCTTCTCTTGCTCCCGCTGCTCTTCAACCCTTCTCAGCTGAAAGCCTGGTGGCAGAGGGGGGCAGGGTTAAGAAAGCATCACCTGAGCCTCAGAATCCACCTAGAACTACTTAGATAGGGACAGGATTGTGAAGGACAGGGTAAAGAAGGACCCCCAAGAAAGCAAAAAGAGAAGCAGATCTGCCCAAGAGAAGGAAGGACAGGTCTTAACGGAATCTGTGGCCCAATGCCGTGTGCACGTCTGAAGGGAAGCCAGGTACCTGAAGGCAGAGCAACCACCACACCTCACCCTTCCGGGACTGCCCAAGGCCCCAGCTGCAGTGGGGGCTCAGCAGCTATTCATCGTCTCTTCTAGACCAAAAAGAAGTCTCTCGATGGGCATCAACAGCACAAACCATTCTAACACCTTGGGACCGTATCTGGTCCCTGACAGAGAAAGAAAAATAGTGGGAGGGGTAGGGAGGGAAGCTGATGGGAACAAGGCTGGGAGAAAAGAAAAGAGCTAGGAGGACTGGGTGGGCAGACAAGAGATATAAATAAAAGGCAGAGCAGAGCAGAAGGGATGTGATGGAGTCCAGCTGAAAAGTCACCCACTGGGACAGTGTCTGGTTTTTCCTGGGGGATTCTTCCCCAAGAAAAGGCACGCAGGTAAACACCCATACACAAAGCACACACTTTCAAGGAGTTTCAAGATCCCAGGTTCATCATGAATGTGGGATGTAGGAACTCGATCTCAGCATCTTTGTGGGTGCGGGGGATGACTTCTTTTTTCTCTTCTTGCTCCAAGGCAATCTCTTGGGTACTCCATAAAAGCTGTCCCCTGAGAAGGGCACAGATCCTGCTCCCTCAGCACCCCAGCTTCAGAAAAAGCACATGATCTCACACCCACCACTGCTATTTACCTTGACGGATGGCAGAAAGCAGGTCACTGCGAGCATCACTCACAGCAGGCAAGGATGACTTGGGCTTGGTGACATCAGAAATCGGTGGTGGTCCAGCAGGCTGGCCATCATCACCACTGAAGGGGAGAGGTGGGGGCCCAGGAGGTGGAGGAGGGGGTGGAGGGGGAGGAGCACCTCCAGATGGTTGGGACAAGGGAGGTGGTGGCATTGGGTAGTCAGCCTCCGGTGGTGGAGGAGGTGGTGGAGGGGCAGCAAAATCAGGATGAGGTGGAAAAGATGGGGGTGAAGGTGGTGGCGGAGTCCCTGGAGACCCAAACCCCACAGGTGGTGGAGGTGGTACACCCATTGGAGGTGGAGGTGGAGGGGCAGGTGGTGGAGCGAAGCCAGGCTTGGGGCCTGGGGGAGAGCCCAGAGGAGGAGCTGGGGGTGGATGGCTTGGGCTGACCACGCTGGTTCTTTTGGGTCCAGCCACGCCAGATCCTCTTTGGTTGTCTGCTGGGTAGCTAAAAAGCCAAAGAGACGAGTCTCACCATCACTGTCAGGATGCAAACACCTACCCAGGGGCAGGCTGAACAGTAAGCTCAGGTGCCTCTCGGATGACTCTCATTTTACTTTGGCTCAAACAGAAAGAATTGGTCAAAACAGATTAACAAGGAAATCTGCCTCGTAGGTGAGGAGCTTTCCACAAGGAGTGGAATACAAGATTGAAAAACCATCTGAAAGAAGTACACCATCAAGCAAGGCTAGCAAAGACATCTTCTAGGTCCCCTCTAACCTTAGTATTCCGAGAGATGGGGCTCTCCTGGATAGGACTGGCCTATGGGGTGGTTGTCAGGTTAAGCCTAGAGCCGGGATTCAGAATGCACACAAGGAAGAACCTGAATGACAATTCAAACCCCACCCATCCACTAGGCTGTTTCTTGGCTATGAACACTCATTTACCAGATTTGGAGAGGGCGGGAAATCCATTTGGGCTTGGCCAAACGTTTTCTTTAAGACAGGGTCACACTGTAACCCTAGATGACCTGGAACTTGCTATGTAGACCAGGATGGCCTCAAACTCACAGAGATCCATTTGTTTCTGCCTCCCAAGTACTAGGATTAAAAGCATGTGCCAGCCTACCTAGCCCCAGCTAACACTTGACCCAAATTTAAATGATGATGAAGACTTTAGTCCCAGCATTTGGGAGGCAGAGGCAGGTGGATCTTTGTGAATTCAAGGCCAGCCTGGTCTACATAGCAAGTTCCAGGACAGCTGGGGCTACAGGGAGACCCTGTCTCAAAAAGACCAAAAAATAATAAATGGATCTTTGTGAATTCAAGGCCAGCCTGGTCTACATAGCAAGTTCCAGGCCAGCTAGGGCTACAGGGAGACCCTGTCTCAAAAGACCAAAAAATAATAAATGGATCTTTGTGAATTCAAGGCCAGCCTGGTCTACATAGCAAGTTCCAGGCCAGCTAGGGCTACAGGGAAACCCTGTTTCAAAAAATCAAAATCCACAGGCTGGAGAGATGGCTCAGAGGTTAAGAGCACTGACTGCTCTTGCAGAGGACCCGAGCTTAATTTGGTGCCTGCAAACCGTTCTTAACTCCAGTTCAGACAGGGGAATCAGAAGCCCTCTTCTTACCTCCCATGCATTGCACGACACGGGTGCACACACATGCATGCAGGCAATACACTCATATACATAAAATGAAAAAAATAAAAAAATTTTTTTGGTCTTTTTGAGACAGGGTCTCCCTGTAGCCCCAGCTGTCCTGGAACTCACTATGTAGACCAGTCTGGCCTTGAACTCACAAAGATCCACCTGCCTCTGCCTCCCAAGTGCTGGGATTAAAGGTGTGCGCCACCATGCCTGGCAAAAAAATATTAAAAAAAAAATCAGAAGCCAAAAACAACAACAAAAAAAGAGAATGAAAGCTTCACTTCTGGGATCAGATGTGTGAAGCTTCGGTTCAAGGTCTCAGGCCAGGTGTGAAGAAAGCTTTCTTCTTCCACCTAGGCGTCTGCCCTGCACTAAGAGCTAATCTTGGGATCTTCCATATACCTTCAAGTCTCAGCTGCATCTGACAGGGCAGCCAGCAAGAAGTGATTTGGGAGGCAGAAAGAGATGTAGGATCAGTGGTTTCAAGGGCCAAGAATGAGGAGAGACGGGAAGACAACAGTGTTTAGGTTTCCATCTGCAGGGCCCTCAACATTTCCAGTCACTAATTAAGTAGAGAAGAGAATATCTTGGGAAGGCCCATTTGTCAGGTATCAGAAAGGAAAAAAGTAACAGAGAAAACAGTGCAATCTGAACAATCCTCAGACTCCTTTTAGCCATTATGGGCAATCTTCCTTTATACACATGGGCCACGGACACCATGAAATAGTCTCATCTCTCTTGATGGGTCTCTCTCCCCTCCTTCCGGCTTCCTAGGGTCTTACTATGCAGGCTTGCTGGCCTAGAACTCATTATGTAGTTCAGACTGGTTTCTAATTTATTCTCCCTCTGCCTCCTAAGTAGAGGGATTATATTTGTTCACTACCACCCAGTTTATTCTTTCTGAAGAGTAAATTCAACAGTGAAGTGAGTCAGAAGCAACAGGAAAGGGAGGTGACTATCTACAAGGTTCTCAGACCCTGGCCAGCAGATGTGTACTTAGGGTAAGTTCACTGGCCTTTCTGTACCACATAGCTTATTCATCTCTAACATGGAGATGACAACAGTACTTATCTCAACTGGGCTTTTGTAGGAAGAAGTAACATACATTATATTTAGTACAATACCTGGCATCCTGCAAATATTTGATACATGCTAGTTATTTCTTTCTTTTTGGGGGATGAGGGGGTTCTTTTTGAGACAGGTTCTTCCTGTAGCCCCAGCTGGTCTGGAACTCGCTTATGTAGATCAGGCTGGCCTTAAACCCACAGAGACACACCTGCCTCTGCCTCCCGAGTGCTGGGATCAAAGGCGTGTGCCACCACGCACGGCAGTTATTTCTTTTTTTATTTTATGTGTATGAATGTCTTGCTTATATGTATTTAAGTGCAACCATGTGTTACCTGTGGAGGCTAGAACAGGGTGTCAGATCCCCTGAAACTGATGTCACCACACCCAGCTTATGTACACATTCTTGCCTGGAGTCATTTTACTGGTTCTGGCCTAGATTTTAAACTCTTACTTTGTTCTTGAGTATTTAACTACCAAGGATGGTTGGAAGAGGTTTGACCATTTACCTGAATTCTGCTGGTGGGGGAGGCAAGTTGTCTTCAGAAAAGGAAGGAGAAGGTGAAGACGTGGAGTCTGACTGTGGCGGTGGTGGGTAGCTGCCAGTATCCACATTTTCAACAGAGCCAATGCTGCCATTCTGATACACCAAGGTAGATGAATGCCTGAAAGCATATCCAATAACAAAAGTTACCATTTAAAGATCGCTCCAGCCCTCAAAGAGTTTTAAACACATAGAGTTTAAGTGGCACTCTCTTTTTTTATTAAAAGATATCACAGAAATGCATTTGATGGGGCTGGAGAGATGGCTCAGTGGTTAAAAACACTGGTTGTTCTTGCAGAAGACCCAGGTTCGAATCCCAGCACCCACATGGCAGCTAACAACTGTCTGTAACTCCAGTCTCAGGGGATCTGACAGCCTCTTCTGACCTCCTCAGGCATTGCATGACATGAGAGCACTTACCTACAAGCAGGCAATACACGCATACACATAAAATAAAAATAATAAATAAGCTGGGTGTGGTGGCACTCACCTTTACTCCCAGTGCTTAGGAGGCAGAGGCAGGCAGATCTCTGTGAGTTCGAGGCCAGCCTGGGCTATATAGTGAGTTCCAGGACAGCTGGGGCTACAGGGAGACCCTGTCTCAAAAAGACCAAAAAATAATAAATAAATAAATAAATAAGCCAGGTGTGGTGGCACATGCCTTTAGTCCTAGAGCTTGGGAGACAGAGGCAGATGGATCTCTGTGAGTTCGAGGCCAGCCTGGGCTATACAGTGAGTTCTAGGACACCTGAGGCTACAGGGAGCCCCTGTCTCAAAAAGACCAAAAAACAAACAAACAAAAAAGATCATCACTGCTTAGCCTGCCCACTTTCTGAGCTCCAATTTAAAAAAATTAATAAATAAATTTTTGACGTACCAGCCAAAAGCCCAAGCACACTTTCCCTGACACTCTTGGCTTTCTTTGAAGACTTCCCTTCCCCTTGATGTCTACAGCTGAGAGTTTGAGGCCAGCCTGGTCTACATAGTGAGTTCCAGGACAGCTCGGGCTACAGGGAGACCCTGTCTCAAAAAGACGGAAAAAAAAAAAAAGATTAAAAAAAAATAAAAAGAAAGAAATACATTTGATACAAAAGCTGTAAGGAAAGAACAAAATAAGGAGGTTTCCATGTGTTTTCTGTTATACTGAAATTATACTTTAGGACAAGATATTCAATTGTTATATATGTGCTAGATATTCCTGCTGAACTGTTTGCAGTAATGAGATTCAACCCAGACTATCAAGACTCTTCTGTTCCCTTCCTGATCTTGGCTTTGGCAAACCTAGCAGCTCATTCTGATGTTTTCCCAAATATTAGGTACACCTATACCTAAATCCAAAAACTTTCTTAGGCATAGAATGAAGCCAAGCCCCATATGCTGGGGGACTGCGAACACATGACCAGCATGCAGCCTGATTTTGAGGTCGGCAAGCCTCTGGAGTGCTCAAAGGCCAAGGAGGTATTTGATTGCAAAATCAAGCCAAGGATGAATGAAGGTTGTTATGTGGTAGTAAATGTGGTTTCTCTGCCAAGTTCCTTTTCAAAAATAGTAAGTTGCTGCTTAAAGTAGGGTGCTAGGGTTTGCCTCATGAAAACCTGTCCCTCAGAGCACTGAGCCTAGGTGAATCTGCTCTGGATGAACATCAAAACTTCAAATACCAAGCAGTAAGCCTCCATACAATACAAATACACCAAGCACCAGCTAGCAAATTTGGCCTATTCTGTCTCCTCTTCCCTTTCTTTCTACCATTGTTAGGTTCTAAAGAGCTCATCAAAACAGGTTCCGGGAAGAACAGAGTTGGAGGGAAATAACTGAATCAAATGACACTCTGATGTGGAAAATCCCCAAAGCTGGGAACCCTGGAGGTTCAGTACATCTCTTTGATGGGCTCACCTACAAGCATGTTCATACAGACTAGCCATGCAGGCAATTACAAATCTCTTGGAAAACAAGAAAATGAGAGACAAACTCCCTATCTTCATCCCACAAAACAAGGAACACATAATAGCTGGCATTATGGCCTTAAGATTAACTGAACCTATGGCATGTGCCTGTCAAAACAAGATGGGACCATGGAAGAAAATAAGCCTTTTTACTGGGCAGGCAAACTCAATGAAGGTACTCCCTGTGCTAATTTTCCTATAGAAAGAAAGCTTAATTTTCCCCCTCTCCAAATTTATCGCTCTTTAAAACAAATCTTTCTTTTTTTCTTCGGTTTTTTTGAGACAGGGTCTCCCTGTAGCCCCAGCTGTCCTGGAACTCACTATGTAGACCAGGCTGGCCTTGAACTCACAGAGATCCGCCTGCCTCTGCCTCCCAAATGCTGGGATTAAAGGTGTGCGCCACCACGCCCAGCCAAAAAAAAAAAGGATTTTTAAGTCAAGATTTTCATGGTAGAGTTATTTCTAAAAGCAAGAACAACTCAACCTTTTCCTTTCATTATTCTTCAGTACCCAGCATGGGCTGACATTGTTCTCTGATAGCCAAGATACAAGGCATTTGGAGAAAAAACCAGGGTGACTCTCATGCTAAGCAGTTGTGGTGACTTGGCTTTGAATGTCACACAGGTCAGACATCAGGATTAAGCATCAAACCAAGCTTTAAAACCATTTTCCCATTGTGGCACACACCTTTAATCCTAGTACTTGGGAGGCAGAAGCAAGTGGATCTTTATGACTTTGAGACCAGCCTGGTCTACACAGAGAGTTACAGGCCAGCCAGGGATACATAGAGAGACCCTGTGTCAAAATAACAAATAAATAGATAAATAAATAAACTGACCCGCAACAAAACAACCCCTAAACAAAACAAAACCCCATTTTCTCCCTTTAAACCCCCAGTGTGATTTGGTATTGGGAAATGGGGTCACACTGACATCTCCCACTCTCCCACAGAGATATATAGCCTTCACAGTGGCCCAGCAACCTTTCCCACACTGACTCTGAGGTCTGGATTCAGTCTCTTGGCCAGCCTCTCTCCCAAGACTAACAAAGGCTGACTGAACACTTGCTTTGGTAATGTGCACAATTTGTCTGCTTGGTCCTCTCCTAAAACGCCCAGATCTTTAAAACAACCTTCACATTTGTGCTCTGAAGGGTTCCGAAGACCGCTGTTCTTCCTTCTCCACTCTTTCTTCTGGAACCTTAAGTATACTAGTTTCTGGCAGAGTAAGGGCACTAGAAGCCATGCACTTTCTTTTCTAAACCACTCCAGTCACCTCACTTGAATTGCTGAGTCTCTTGGTTTACTTGCAATTTTAATTACCAGATGGATGCACTTAAAAGTAGCTGATTAAGAGTTGTATTGACCTAAACCTTTAGCCACATTTCAAAGAAGTGAGAGGTATGATGCCAGATCTGTTAAAGACTACTGTCCCCAGGTCCCCAACCCCTTCAAAGAATGCTGACATCACAGAAGCGTCACCTACCCAGAAGGCCCTAGCTTTTCCTTGGACTCCACAAATTCTTGTCCCATCTTCATTTTCTCCCACTCTTCCTTACGTGTCTTGATTTTACGTGGGTTTACGTTTCCTCGATTTGGATTATCTTTCTTTTCTTTCTATAATGAAAAGGAACAGAAAAGCTTTTGGAAAATATTTTCTAAAGTTCTTCATTAAAATTCTACCCATCTTCATGGACACATATGCAAGAGTGATCTGCCTAGACGACAAATGGCAACAGCAAAATTTATAGAATTACCAGGTTTGGAGTGACCTAGAGGCCATCTGATTCAAACCACCTCCTGGGCAAAACATTTGCTCAGTCTCACACACAAGCACCTCTAGCAACAGGAAATCCACCCACAGCTACCTCTCTGGGTAATTGTTTCAGGGCTTTAAACAGCTCTAATTGTTAGGAAATTTGTAAACAGCTGCTTGTTATCTGCTCTGCCATAAAGGTCAGTCAAAAGAGATGAGGATGACAGCTCCAGGTAGCTGGGCCAGACAGAAGGAAACAAACACAACAAAATAAAAACCAACAAAGAATTTTCTAGCTCATGCAGTTGCACTAGCCTCTGGCACTATCCTGGACTTGCTGACAGCCATGCTAATGGGATTGTGAGGTCAAAACTTGCAGGTCACACACAGCACCAGGAGCCTAAAGAGAAGCATCTCCACAAACCCAGCACCACCACCACATCCCAGGCCCACCCATCCAGAAGTGAAGGGGTTAACCCACTCCCACTGCAACCCAAATGCTGCAGAATCTGGTGCGGGTCTCTAAGAAATGAACTGCAAAGCTGTTGGGGAAGGGACTAGGCCAGTTGAGTGTCCAGCAGAGTCAGGTGCAAATTGCAAGAGAAATAAATGGTGAATAGAAAAGTCAATTTCTAAAACTCAGCCTGAATATACTCAATTGTTAATGGCGCCAGGGGGAACAAACACAGTCTTGGCGTGATTTATACTTTCATCCTGATGGTGCTTGGTGTGGACACATTTTTTTAAAGTTTTACCTGGCATCCAAGCAAGCAGCCACTTGGAATTACTTCACATAAGACTGGTTTCCTTTTTATCCCCTCCACAATCGTACCTACTGATGTGCAGAACAGAGGCCCCTTTCCCCTCACCCTATGCTTTCTCTTCTCTTTCATATCCTTGGTGTCCTGCAGCATCTTCTCCTTCCAAAGATCAAAGAAGTACGAAGGGTTGGTGTAGAATTTGAGTGCTTCTTTTCCATCATCCCTGGGAAAGAAATGAAGACAAGTAGCTATCAGTACACAGATGAGCTTCCAACCAAATCCAATATTCCAAACACCAACTGGTTAGCAGTTTTTACACTAAGGAATCAGGAAACCATTCAAATCGATTGCATATTTCCTCTCCCACACTAGCATCTCAATGCCCCTGAATGGTACCTCTCTACTTCTTAAGAATCTCTGCTTTACTTTCAATTCTTGATTCAGGAATTTGCATGGTCAGGGCAAGAACAGGCTAGAGAGCAGAGATCCTGATTATTTCTAATCATCTGCATGGTCATAGACAACTCCCTAAGGATATCTGGATTTTGTGCACATCTGAGGGGATGTCTACAACTGGTTCCGCTTCCCCCATCCAATTCCCCAGAACTATCTAGGGAGGATTAGGGTCCTTTCCACTGACCTGAAACCTGTACACTCACATGCAGATTCACAGAGCCATGTGTCTATGCGTAGAGCTCCTATTATTCTACACACAGAGTCTGCTGCCAACACCTTGCTCCTTTCTAGAGTAGCTCAACATCTGCCACCACCCCAATCACAAGGGGGCTCCACTGAGAACAAATGCCAGCTGTTTTAAAACCACAAGGCTTAACCTTCTATACTATAGCAATATAGAGTAAGCTACTGAGTGTCCATATAAGGGCTGTTTGCCAGAGTCAATGATCCTGGCTATAATCTACTTTGGCATAGCTAAGCCCCCAGTGTACAGAAAGCATGTGCTTTAGGATGAAAGTTTACTATTATTCTGAACTAAAAGAATTGGAAGCCAGACATGGTGTGCCTATAATCCCAGCACTCAAGAGGCAGAGGGAGAAGTAGCAGCTCAAGGCCAGCCCAACCTATCTAGAAAGAATTTCTCAGAAAAAAACAAAAACATCACCCACACATACACAATTCTACTCTCCAAGCCTATCAAAACACACTGGCCTAAACTCACTATGTAGACTAGGCTGGGCTCAATCTCACAGAGATCCACCTGCTTCTGCCTCCTCAAGTGCTGGGATTAAAGGCAGGCGCCACTATGCCTGGTTCTAATAGTTCATTTTTAAGAAATGTTTTAGAGTACATACCTTTAAATTCCAGGCCAGCTGGGGCTACAGGGAGACCCTGTCTCAAAAATACCACCCCTAAAGTTGTAGATTTTATTTTTATTCATGTGTCTATATGTGTATGCTAGAAGAGGGCGTCAGGTCCCCTGAAGCTAAGAGCTAAGGCCTGATGTGGGTGCTGGGAATCAAACTCTGGTCCTCTCCAAGAGCAAGTCCTCTTATTTGCTGAACCATCTCTTTAGCTCTTAATACTAATAATCCTTTGTTTTTTTGTTTTACGTTTTTTTTAAGTCTTTTTTAGACAGGATCTCCCTGTAGTCCCAGCTGGCCTGGAACTCCTTATGTAGACCAGGCTGGCCTCAATCTCACAGAGATTCACCTGCCTCTGCCTCCCCAGTGCTGGAATTAAAGGGGTACGCCACCACACTCAGCAATACTAATAATTCTTATATTAAATCTTGTTAGCCAGGAGTGATGGTGCACGCCTTTAATCCCAACACTTAGGAGGCAGAGGCAGGTAGATGTCTGTGAGTTCAGGACCAGTCTGATCTACAGAGTTCCAGGTCAGCCAGTGCTATATAGTGAGACCCTGTCTCAAAAACAAAACAAAACAAAATCTTGTTGAGTTAGGTACACCTGCTCATTTCTATCAGGCCAAGCTCAGGAACTGAGAGGACACACTAATTTTGGTGTTGCATGTCTAAAAAGAAAACACCGAAAAGTGAAATTATCTTACTATTATGTGTTTAGCCTATTCTAACACATAAACTCTTCCAGTATTATCAGGTATGTCAACCCTGACATGCCACAACTCTGCCCAAATCCAACCAGACTAAAGGACAAGAGCCACAGGGGCAAACATAATTTCACATAATAGTAACAAAGAGTAGGCCTGTGCCTTCTCTGGACCTGTGTGAGAAGCTACTGAGCTCCTCTTATTTCAGGCTCTTTGTGTCAGGCTGGTGTCCTTGAATTTCACAAACACAAAGACATACAGACACACACACACACCCTCTACTTTGCAGTGTACCCAAGTCTGATAGAAGACATCTGCCTCCAGCTATCTGTAATTATTTTTTACCTGTTCCAAATTTATGGATCTAAACAAGATAAATATTTATGTTCTGCTTCTGTTGGGTGGTTCTGTGCAGGACACTACCAAGCCACCAGAGGGGAGGGGCTTTAAGTAGTCTATAAGTCCACCTTCTTTTCTTATGTCTAGCTCCAGCAGGGCAGGTCTTTGCAGACGAAAATATCCAAAAGATACTCAAAGTAAACAACACTCATTTGGAAAAATGCCTTTTTCTTCTTAAGTCTTGGAAGGACACACCCCTCTGAGCCTAGAGCAGCCAGTCTATGAGGCTGGTCCCACTAGCATGCCCAAACATCTGGAAATCTAGTGTTTTCCAAGTAAGTGAAATCCCTGCTAGAATGTGGCCCCTGGGATCCATGCTGCAGGACTGCCTTATAACAAAGTCCTTTTGGTTCTGTAATAACTAAATTCTTTGGATGGAATCCAACACAGACCAGCTTTTACCAAATTAAATTCTGTAGCATGTAATATTAGAGCAAACTTCCAATATATATTATATTCACTGTGAATTGAAAAAAGCAAAATAGTTATAACTATTTACAGTGTAAACTATTTTTGCTGCCATAAGCAACGCTGGGGTAGGCAGTAAGTATGGTTTGATTTCCTTCTAAGAAAGAGTCTCACTATGCAGTTCTGGCTGGCCTAGAACTCCCTCTGTAGAGTAGGCTGACCTCAACTCACACAATTCTGCTTGCCTCTGCCTCCCGAGTGCTGGGATTAAAGGTGTAGACCACTATGCCCAGGAGGCAGTACACTTTTTGATTCAGTTCTCTGATGCAAACAACATCTTTAGATATTTTAAACAATGTAGTATTGTGGGGGGTTTTTTGGTATTTTTGAGACAGGGTCTCCCTATAGCCCCAGCTGGCCTGGAGCTTCCTATGTAGACTCACAGAGATCTGCCTCCCTCTACTGGGATTAAAGGCATGTGCCACCACGTGAACTATGCCCAGCTCTAACACAGACCCTACCCTCTTCCTCCACACCAGAAAAAAGGAGGGGGCAACTTAGCTGCTACCTGTAAGGGCTAAGATTATTGAGAGGGGGAGGGGCATCACAGGTGTTATAAGTCTCCAAGACAGGAACAGGAAGAGAATTTCTGTCAAAAAGCTTCTGGTCTTGAATGGTGGAGCTTCTGAAGGCCTTTCGGGTGTTGATTCCTTGTAGTGACACTGAGAGAAGATGGAAGGCGTTAGAAAATGGACGGCAGGCTATCTGAGCAAACACTGAGTCACAGCAGTTGGAGAGGCCTCAGCTGCTGCATTTCTTGGCTGCCGCTGTCTGCAGCCAGGTTTTTTCCCTCCCCCTCTGGGGAAGCCCCACAAGGCTGTCAGCAGCCCAGCCATTTCATGACTGAACGGAATGAAGCAACACAAAGGTTTACTATGTGGCCAGATCCAGCAGGCCTCTCCTTAGATGGAGTGATTCTTCCAAGTACTTTTATGATAGCGAAGTAAGATTGAGGGAAGAGAAATTCAAGAACGAGGGAATCGGGGAATGGGAGAAAGGGAAGGTGTGGGAGTGTGGTAGAGTTAAAAAGGTTTCTTTACACAACCCAGGCTTGTGTCATTTCAAAGTAGAACTCTGTAGGTCTGATTTCGTCCCTTGCTTTTTAATAAATCGGGGGGGGGGGGTCTAAGAAGCTGCTCAGCAGAGCCTGCAGATGCTGAGCTCAGCTTCCTTACCTTCTTCTTCCTTCGGATCCAGTTGAGTGACTTTAACTTGTAGTCGGTCAACCCTCTCAGCAAGGGAGTTTACCCGAGAGGCGAAGGTACTTGCCTGAGAAAAAATCTCTCTAAAAATGTCCTCTGCATATTTACCTGGGAAGAGCAAAGAGACCAAATCACTAGTACACAGGAGCGGTATAAAAAGAAAACCAGCTACTCCATGAATCCCCCACCAAACACACAGAAAGGTTTCCTCCAGAGCTTGGGCAGTCTGTGTATACGGTCCATAACTAATAGAACTTTCTTGGCAAATTCTGAACAATCACGGAACTCAAAGCAGTTTCAACAAAATCAAAAGGTCTAATGCCAAAAAACTGGATTCTAGAAGAGCAGACAGAATAGGCAAACATCTGTCTGTGGCTCTTAGCCCCTTGTTTTTCTGGAAAGCACCTTGTAAAATCATTCTAGAAAGCAGACTGGAGAGGAACTACTAGGTATCTGTGATTAATATGACAGATAAGAAATTATTTCCTCAGGAGAACTTCAAAAGTCCACTGAAAAACCAAGATGAGTTGTGTATCTCTAAAGGGCTTGAACTTATCAACACCCCATACAGAGATGCATAACTTCTTCTAAGGGGTCAAAAGGTTACATTCTCTAACCTACAACTTTCAAAGTCTTTGCTCTAGGTTACAATTCTTCAAATCTACACCTCAGGGAACAAGTGAAAAGCTGAAACTTTTAAGCCCTCCCTGAAAAACAACATACCAGTGGTCTTTTTCCACAAGGTCTTCCTTTTTAGAACAAGAGAAGAGCTCTGTGCTTTCAACCCTGAATGCAAGGAGAATTTGATGGCAAAGAAACAGCAATTTGACATTACTTCCACATTGTTATTCCAAGCCACAAGGTACCTTTTTACTAGAAGTCAAAAGTGGTACATATGGATAAATATGTCATCTGAGTTTTTGGGTTTTTTGTTTGTTTTGTTTTTGAGACAGTCTCCCTGTAGCCCCAGCTGGCCTGGAACTCACTAAGTAGACCACGCTGGCCTTGAACTCACAGAGATCCACCTGCCTCTGCCTAACCAAGTGCTGGGATAAAAGGCGTGCACTACCATGCCTGGCTCATCTGAGTTTTTTACTAAAAAAGATTTTTTTTACTGTTAATTACCTCTGTGTGTGTGTGTGCGTGTGTGTGCGAGCACGTATGCATGCAGGTACCCTCAGAGGCCAGAGACATGGGATTCCAGGAGCTGGAGTTACAGACTGTTCTAAGTCACCTGATGTGGGTGCTGGGAAGTGAACCTGGGTCTTCTGCAAGAGCAGTACAGGATCTTAACCACTGAGACATTTCTCTATCAGACCATCTGAGTTTTTTACTCACAAAGTGAAAGCAGGCATTAAATGCCTGCCCAACCAAGAGAGATTTTGAGAACTATTTAAAGTAGGCTCTCATTTTTAGCTTCTAAGCTACATTAATGCTTAATACATATGGGGGGGGGGGGGATTAACTCTCAAAGACCAAAGCACACCTTCAGGATGAACTGTAACTTACCTTCCAGTGTAATCTAGAGAATAAGCATAGTGTACACTGCTGGTAAATTTAAGTAAATAAGGAGTTTCTAATCATGCACGGAAGGAACAAGTCTTTGTATACAAAGGGAGCTCCTGAGTTCAAAGAACTCAAAAGTGGCTAACAAGTGGGGCTGGGGAGATGGCTCTGTAGTTAAGCTCACTGGTTGCTCCTGCAGGGGACCAGGGTTTGGTTCCCAGCACCCACATGGCAGCAAACAACATTCTGTAACTCCAGTTCTAGGGGATCTGATGCCCTCTTCTGGCCTCCTAAGGCACTGCACGACACAGGTATACTAACCACACACATAGGCAAAACACTCAAATATCCAATTGTGGTGGCTCAGGCCTATAATCTTAGCACAGAGGAGGACTGTTGTTAGTGCAAGGCCAGCCTGGGTTACATAATGAGACACTGTCTGAAAAGCAACAACAAAAATCCAATTGCTATGGTGGGTAATGAAAACCCCAAGAGAGAACTCAGCCTTTCTGTAGTGACAGTGGGGCATTGACAAGCATGGCGTCAGATACAACCACACAAAGAACCCTAATATATAAAATTGGTAATAAGTAAAGTGGGATGAAAGCTTTCCCACTGTATCATCATGTCAGACCTGTTCTATCACAAAGCAAGCCAGGGCAGTATAGTTTTAGTTTCATGCTTTACCCATTCCATATCAAACTCTCACTACTAGAAGAACAGTTCTGGCTGGAGTACAATGCAGAAGGCCAAATCAGAACCTGAAGCAAAAAGTGTGGTCTCAAAAAAAAGGGGGGGGTGTGGAGAGATGGCTCAGCTGTTAAGAGTACTGACTGCTCTTGTAGAGGACCTGGGTTTGATTCCCAGCACCCACAAGGTGGCTACAAACCATCTTTAACTCTAGTTCCACGGGAATCCGAAGCCCTCTTCTGACCTCCTCGGCACTGCACAACACGGTGCACTTACATATATACAGGCAATACACTCATACACATAAAATTAAAAAAAAAAGATATATACATAAAAATATAAACCTCTTTGAGGAAGCCTTCCTCCATTCTCCTTTCCCTACCTGTGTCCTACTTCCTATAGAAAGCAATCCTAGGGCTGGAAAGATGGCTCAGTGGTTAACCCGGGTTCAATTCCCAGCACCTACATGGCAGCTAACCACAACTCCAGTTCCATGAGAATTCAATGCACACTTCTGACCTCCGCAGGCACTGTAACAACATGGGTGCACATACACACATGCAGGCAATACACTCACCCACATAAAATAAAAATAATAAATATATATCTTGAATTTAGAACTCTTGGGGCTGGAGAAATGGCTCAGCAGTTAAGAGCACCGGCTGCTCTCACAGAGGACCCAGGTTTGATTCCTAGCACCCACATGGTGGCTAACAACAGTCTGCAACACCAGTTCCAAGGGAATCAAATGCCTTCTCTAACCTCCTTGGGCACTGTATGACATGGGTGCACTTACACACATGCAGGCAATACACTTGTACACATAAAATAAAAATAATAAATAAAATATTTTTAAAAATTAGAACTCTCACCGGGCATGGTGGCACATGCCTTTAATCCCAGAACTTGGGAGGCAGAGACAGGTGGATCTCTGTGAGTTCAAGGCCAGTCTGGTCTACATAGTGAGTTCCAGGACAGCTGGGGCTACAGGGAGACCCTGTCTCAAAAAAAAGACCAAAAAAAAAACAAAACAAAAAAAAAAAACTTTAGAACTCTTGGGGCTGGAGAGATGGCTCAGCAGTTAAGGACACTGGTTGTTCGAATCCCAGCACCCACATGGCAACTAACAACTGTCCGTAACTCCACTTCCAGGGGATCCAACAGCCTCTTCTGTCCTCTGCGGGCATTGCACGATACAGGTACAGGTGCCTACACGCAGGCAATACACACATACACATAAAATAAATATAATAAAATATTTTTTAAAAATTAGAACTCTTAGAAATCCACTACTTAGTAACCTAATTGAAAATTTTAATTAGGAGGCTGGGCTGTAGAGATGGTTCAGTGGTTAAGAGCACTGGCTGATCTTGTAGAAAACCAAGATTCAGTTTCCAGGCCCCACGTGGCAGCTAACAAACCATCTCCAGTTCCAGGGGTCCTAATGCCCTCTTCTGATCTCTGTGGGCACTACACAACATGGGTGCATCTACATATATGCAGGCAAAACACAAAAAATATAAATAAATAAATAAATAAATAAATAAATAAAAGGGAAAAAATTTTTTTGAAAGGAGTTTGAACACATTCTCCCAAAGACATGGATTATTAAATGAAAATCCTGGTGCAAGGCGTTGAGATACTCCTTATGAACCACTGGTCAGGAAGGCTCCAGAGGCCTCCAATGGCCCCTACTGCCATTGTTCTTGGTTGCCCACCAGAACTAGATGGTAAGATCCTACTGCTGAAGACACAACACATTTTGGTTGCAGGACACAGAAATCAAGCTGCACCTGATCTGAACACTGCTTTCCTACTGGCTAGTTTTTATAGTGCCAGAGGAGTTATATACACTGCTGGGGGAGAAAAGCTATCAATGGTACCACCAGCAGCAAATGTTGCATGTTAAATACTAGCCTGCCAGATAAGATGTGCCCACTGGTACAAGAGTGGCTTGAAGATTATGCGGGTAACCAACTGCTTTTGGACTGGATTTGAGGCCTGCTACACAGAATAAAAATTCATGCCTTGTACTGTAAACCTAGTCAAAAGCCCATGGCTCAGGTGGTTCTAGGTCCTAGGGGAGAACTTAGGAACCTACTGTTCCCTTGCTAAATTGGACATGCCAAATTGCCCTCTAAATACTGACACTTATACCCATAGATTAGTGCTGCCCTCAATTCTGCTATGGAAGTTTTCTTTGCAGCAGTCAGAAGTTAATGCAAAGACTTGTAACTGGTTAATGTGCCAAGAATAAGTCACTATTGAGTACTCAGCCCTAAATGTGTCATCTACATCAACATGCTCTCTCCCAAGACTCAAGGAAGATCACAAAAGAGGGGGCAGAAAGGAAGGTCAGAGGATGCAGAAAAGTGCTGTGAAATGCTGCTTTCTGGACATGGCACGGCTACTGCGCTCAGGAATTCACTACAGATATGGTTACCTGCGAAGGCCCTGTACAAGATCAATCAACATTCCAACAGGCAGCACTAACTGGCTTCAGTGGGTTATAAAAAAAAAAGGAAAAAGAGGATGTGAAATGGGGAAGGGGGGGGTGTGTGTTGGAGAAGCCTGGGGAGTATGAATACTGTTTACAGACATGAAATGCCAAAGAATAAATAAAAGATAGTCTATTAATAAAAAAATTAATTCAATTAAAAAAACACAGATAATTTGTATTCTGTGGTATGCTCAAAGGCACACACAGCCCAGTCTAGAGAAGATCTCTGAGCTGGAGCTTGAACGCTCAGCTGCAGGAGCCCCGCCACATAAGGAGAGCCAGGGCAGTCCAGGTCAGACCAACACCAGGATGATGGGTAGGACACAACAGCTAAAGGGCTGCATGGATGTCTCAAAGAACATGGTCTGTCTTGGGAGACTGATAGCAGCTGATTGCTTTTTCCCTTCTCCAT